TCTCTCTAGGGTTTCTCTGGGATGAAGTGGCCGCAAATGGAGGCCATAAAGGCCTTTAAATAAGGCACAAACCCAGGGATTTAGGGTTTCACTTAACAGCGCGGACTCGCCGAGTCCACTCATCGACTCGTCGAGTCCTTCATTAAATCAAACAGGAATGCGCGATCCTAATCGGCGAGTCTGAGCGTCTACTCGCCGAGTCCCTCCCTAAAACTCAAGATAAATACTTAAAATAAGATACCTGGGAATCCGGATGTTACACTATTTATAGGCTGTCTGGGCCGATTCATGTCATGAGAAAGGGTGCTCATGTCGTGAGTCTTGCGTAGGCTCCAAGGCGAAGTCTGGTGCCGACACGTGGCGTCGGACGCATGTAAAACAACCAATCTTTAAAAATTCATAACTTTCGTATACAAACTCCGTTTTTGACGTTCTTTATATCCACGCGTAGGTAAAGACAAGATCTACAACTTTCCTTTTGACTCCGTTGGCTAATTCGTTACCGATTTTAAATTTAACAGTATGAGAAGATTATACTATTAAATGACTGCGTAAAATTCATAACTTCTATATACGGACTCCGTTTTCGTCTGTCTTTTTATCGTTGAGTTCCTATTAATGAGATCTTAAATTCTCATTTAGGTTGCGTTGGCCAAAAATCGATCGATCTAAAATTCGAATTTCGGGTTGTGCACTGCTATGCCAAATCTTAGAAAAATCATAACTTCCTCAAACGAAGTCAGATTTGGACATTCTTTTTATGCACGCTCTCGGTTTAACGTATACTACAACTTTCATTTAGATTGCTAAGGCTAAAAAGTCATCTATCGTAAATTCACTATTTACGTCACAAAGCGTCGTGCCGGTTTTGTCGTGAAACTTCGACGGGCCATAACTTCTTCGTTATAACTGGGATTTCGGTGTTCTTTATATGTACGGAACCATTGTAACATATACTATAACTTGGTTAAGATTACTCCTTCTAACTAATCTACCATAAAAAAACTTATTTTTGATGTTCATTGTCTCTAAATTGACTAGCCCGAATCTACGGGCGTTACATAAATCGAATTCTACAACTATTGGCTAGATTATAACTCATCATGGCCAAGGTATAACCCATACATGAACCTATAATTTGAATCACCTATTTCCACCATTTTTTTGATGAAATGCAATCATTTAAGGATGAATTAGCAATCACATGGTGTTCTAGAGAGAAATTCAAACATCCAAAACCTAGTTAAACCAATATCTAGAGAATTTCCATCATTAATGGAGCTTCAAGCTCAAAATATCAACCAAACCTTCATCAAAAACAAATTGGATGTGATTAGATTGGGAGTTCTAATATCAAAACCATCAATGAATTCAACATCTATCAATAATTTAATTACCATTTTCAGATGTTGGGTTCAGCCCAAACCCTAGGTTTGATTTCTAGAGAAATTGGAGAAGGTTATACCTCAATTCACTAATGGACATGTTCTACTTTGAATGTAAACTCCTTCTCTTCAATTACAAGCCCCATATCTCTATCAAATAAAATAGAAGACCAAATCACTAGCTTCTAGTTTTCAATATTTAGCATATTTTGTCATACACTTTCATATATCTCATATATGACACCATTTGACTACATATTTTAAATGAACTTTGATCATTTAGATACTTATACCACTAAAACACGTTTGTTTTTTCATAAAGACCATGACTGGTCAACACTTGGTAAAATAGTTTCCAAGTTAGAAAAACTAGTCCCTCTACTTTAAACTATAACTCGACTGGTATAAAGGTCATATTGTGGCTCATGGATTTTCTCAACTTAATGACCTTCACTTTGATGACACCTTTAGTATTGTTGTCGAACATATGATAATTGCCACCATCCTAAGCGTTATGATATCTAAAAATTGGCTCATCAACCAGTTAGGTGTCAAAAATGCTTTGTTGCATGGTGATTTGTTTGAGGAAGTTTCCATGAAACAATCTCTTGGATATGTTCATCATACTCTTTTAAATCGTATATGTCTTCACAAAAGGCTATATATGGCTTTAAGAAGGCACCCCGTTCTTGCTACCAAAGTTTTGTTATCTTCATCACCTCTTTTGGTTTTAGAAACAATCGTTCTAACTGTTCTCTTTCCGCTTATCACTCCGGCTCTAGGCATATCTATCTTCTCCTCTATGTTGATGATATCATCCTCACTGCCTCCTCACCCCCTCTTTCATCTCCCGTGTCATTACTCGCTTATCTTCAGAGTTTCCCCTAACATGTTTAGGCTCTATTTCATTCTTTCTTGGGATTGTTGCCTCACTGATAAGATATTTTTTTTTATCTCAAACGTCCTTTGCCAAGGAAATTATTTCTCGCGCTCACATGTTCTTATGCAATTTGTGTCTTACTCCTTCAGACAGTTCCCAAAGGTCCTTATGCTGCTTATCTCACACCTTACCAGAGCCATGAAGGTGCTTTTGTAGTATCTAAGTTTCACTCATCCTGATATTCCTTATAATGTTCAACAAATCTGCTTATATATGCATGATCCACATGAACCTCGTCTTCTTGATCTCAAGCGGATCCTTCGGTACATATGATGATGATTGGGCTGATCTTCCTCACAATTGTATGTTCACCTCTAGGTTATGTGTTTATCTTGGCGATAATCTCATATCATGGTCTTCCAAATGTCAGCATGTTGTCTCTTGATCCTCTGCTAAGCTGAGTACCGCTGGTGGCCAATGTGGTTGCCGAATCTGCTTGGCTTCACAATCTCCTTCTTCAGTTATCTTGTCCATTCTAAAGCAATGGTTGTGTTTTACAACAATATGAGTGCCATGTATTTAGTTTCTAACCTTATACACCATCAACGTACCAAGCATGTTAAAATAGATTTACATTTTGTTTGGGAATGTGTTGCCATTGGACATATGCATGTTTTGCATGTGCTATCAACTCACCAGTTTGCGGATATATTCACAAAGGATCTTCATACTTGATTGCTTTTAAATTTCGGCTTTAAACATTTGTAAACTCCATGTGCAAAATGAAGGTATGTGTTAAATCATGTCATTTATGACCTTTTGTGTAGTATAGGGACCCCCTTTGTAACTTTTTATACTACATATATCATGCCATACAACTCCCTCACTAAGGAGGCTTTTTCCACATTTAATATTTGTTACTGGCTACTAATAACAAGTCATAGTATGATGTCATATGATTAAAACAACCATAATCAACCATCAGTCTATTACCCGATGATGATGAGAAGTCATGAGCACTCATAGAACGTGTCGTGAGTTGTTGGATTGATTCTTGATTTCTTTGTAAAAATTTCATCCGGTTGGAAGTGTTTGTCACATCAAAAATGGGTGACATGCACTTGCCATTAAAAGTCTAGAGGAGTTAAGATGGGTGGCATGCACTTGCCATTAAAAGTCTAGAGGAGTTAATATGAGTGACATGCACTTGCCATTGAAAGTCTAGAGGAGTTGTATTAACTCTTGATTTATTCGAAGTAATTCCATAAGATTGAAGTTGTTTGGCGCATTAACAGACGTGAGACGTGTTTGGAATGATATGCTCATGATGTAATTTTAATGAAAATTTTTACGAGATGAAATGTTGATACGGTGGAGCGATATGTAGAATTGATTGATCTCTGATTGTATTGAATTGAAGAAGAAAGCATATACATCCGTTACAAGATACAATAATATAAACCTAATTAATTATGAATAAATATAGAAACTACCAATACTTATGGATAGATGCCAAAGTAACCCTGAAGTATATGGAATTGCTGAAATGTACACTAAGAGAATGGAGGACAGAAGAAAGAGGTACTACATGAGAGTAAGGCTCTGTATCATATATCCTGCCAATTTATTAATCTCAGACTGAAAATTAAAACAAAATTATAATATTCACAGTATACCTTTCCCTTTTTACTTCTTGCCAAACTAATCCTTAAATATTAAGTTGTATATTGTGAAAATGATAATGTATTTGATGTGAAGTTTCAGTCTCTATAACAGGGTAATTTCATTTAAGGCAAGAGGAAACTGATTGTTTCATGTGTAGTCAGACTATTCATAGATGAAATGATGAAGAAAATTCAAGGCAAGGAGAAATCGACGGGCCCAACTTTTATTTCATAGGAAAAATACTATATGAAAGAAATAAAACCTTGAAACTAATTAATTGATGAAATCATAAGAAAGTTTCTGCTTATTGCTAGTTGATGGTAATACACACCTCCTCCAGTACCCCATCCTTACCACACCAGCCTCAGGTGTCTGAAAATTTGTTATTTCAAAAGTCATGAAAGGGTTGCATTTCAGGGAATATTTCCCTGAAACATCATAGAAGATAACCTCATGAACAGTAAAAAAAAACATGTCTCCTTATGTGTGGCAATATGTTACGTCTAAATATGTCTGACCAAGAGCCTCTTGCTAGGAAAATTTAAGTACAAATTACATAACTTTTTGAAAAACTTTACCAAGAAATTATAGTGGTGTTTTCTTTGTTACCAGAAAAATATACAACTTACATACTAATGAAGATCTCATTTTTTTGTATATATATACTGATCAGTTCCCTTCAAGACAAAATCAAGAATCTACTTTAGGATTTTTGGTTACTGACACCTTTCTTATTTGAATTTCTTTTAAGGATCCAGTTGGGTTATGACTGCCACCGGTAAGTTTTGTCTTTTGGTTCGTTAGTTAACATTTTACTTTTGCTTTATGCTTCTTTCTTCTTCCATGTCTTACAAAGTGGGTATGCTTATAAAATGCTTGTTGGACATCAACTTTTGTACTAAATATACCATGGTCTCCTACTCTTCCATCAACATCAAACTTGTAGTGCTTTCTTATGTTTTTATCTTATTTTCGTTTTACAGGTTTGAACATGCTTGAACATCAGATGAAATTTCAGGTGATACCAAATGATGTTAAAAGGACATGGAATGAGCACGTCCTACAAGTACTGGTTCCCACCAGCCTTATTTTGCAGATCATCTTAAGTATACTAGGAAACCTTCGGAAATACAATCCAAGGACTATAATCAGAATCACTCTTTGGTGTGTGTACTTTTTGGCTTACGCTATTGTACCAGTGGCCCTTAGTATTACTGCCCAAAGTGCCTTGGAATCATGCAACAACTCTCATCCTGCTTCAAAATATCACAGATCCAACACAAGTGAGCTCATGGGTTTTTGGGCACAGTTTCTCTTTCTTCACCTTGGTGGTGCAGACACCATTACTGCTTACTCCTTGGAAGACAATGATCTTTGGTTAAGACACTTGGTTTTTCTTCTATTCCAATCAGGAGTAGCTTTATATATCCTTTTGTTGTCTTGGCCAGGTTGTTCTCATATCCCACTGCTAAGCATACTCGTTTATGCATCCGGTTGCATCAAGTGTTTTGAACGTGTTCAGGCTCTAAGGTTAGCAAACACTGAGCATCTCAGAGAGACAATGCTTGGTCCTGCTGACCCAGGTCCTGATTATGTCAAATTTCTGGAGGAATTTCTGTTGAAAAAGTCACAGGGTTTCATTGTGAAGGTTGAGGAGGTTTTGGAGAATGCTCTTCCAACTATTCGTGCATATTCCCAAACTGGGCGTGAAGAAATACTTGAAGCATACAATCTGTTCCAAACATTCAAGCGTCTATTTGTTGGTCTTATACTCACATATGAAGATAGGGATAGAAGCACATCGTATTTTCAGCATCTTGATTCAGCTTGTGAAGTTTTCCGTGCTGTGGAGATTGAACTTGGATTTGTATATGACATGCTTTACACAAAGGCAAGTGTGCTCTATACAAATAAGGGCCTCATACTTCGTGCTATTGGTGTTCTTCTCCTTCTCCTGGTACTTGTTGGCTTCCATTTTCACAGTGATATGGACCATTACCTAGTCATTGACATTGTCATTACTTATTTAGTAATTGCAGCAGAATTTTCAAAAGAAATCTTTTCCTATATTACCATGTTCCATTCAGATTGGGCTCATATCTGGTTTAAACAGCAGAACCACACTCACGACAACCTTATATTTTCATTCTTGAAGCAACCGAGTAAACAAAGGTGGTCCAATTCCATTGGACAGTTAAACCTACTAAGTGTCGCACTCAAGGAGAACCCCGCTTGTTTTTTAAATCAGAAACTTTTCGGGGTACATAAGTTTCTGAAGAAGCAAAGATACGAGACATATATCGAGGTTTCTGCCAACCTGAAGGATATGATTTACAGTCAGTTTCTTGAGTTTGTGGAGCGTAGTTCTGATCCAAAAGGATTATGCATTCACAAAGGTGGCTATTGTCTCGAAGAGAATGGTCTGAGAACGCTTTTGTGGAGCATCAATGATGTGGAATTCGATCAGAGCATTCTTATCTGGCACATCGCTACTGCTCTTTGTTACTACTCTGAGAGTAGTGATCAATTAGAAATCAACCGCATCGAAAGTAAGAACATGTCTGAGTATCTGGTGAATCTTTTAATTTCAAACCCTGAAATTCTGCCAATAGGTATCGGCATGATCAGGTATCGTGACACATGTGCTGAAGCCATTCGCTTCTTCAAAATGAAAAGCCCTATTACCCAAATATCTGATGCCTGCAGAAAGTTACTTGAAGTTAGTTGTGAGGAATTGTTGCCTAGTATAGTGAAGGGGGATCAATCCAAATCTGTACTCTTTGATGGTTGTAGACTTGCATTAGCTTTGAGAAAGATGAAAAACAGGGAGATAATGTGGAAAGTGATGAGTCAAGTATGGATCGAGATTCTGGCTTATGCAGCTGCTCACTGCAGAGTGTTCCACCATTCACAGCAGCTTGGGAGAGGGGGAGAATTTCTGACTCATATTTGGCTTTTGATGGCACACTTAGGAATGACAGAGCATTTCCAGGTAACTCATGGCCATGCAAGAGCTAGGTTCAATGTTTCATAGGCATAACTTGGGATTAGCATTTCATTTGCTTTAATACTTATGTAGATTAACAATTCTATTTGTTTGTTTTCTATTTTCGTAATTGAAAAAGTTGTGCCTTTCTGCCTAAGTTGGCACACATTCATTGTCTGTACATTAATTATCCCATTTTCATATTTTTTTGTTCAAAATTTTCTTGTATAATAATAATGTTCTTTCAGAAATTTTTACTCTTGGGTTTCTAAATATGTCTTGCGTAAGTGAAAAAGTCATGAATGTGTAATGTTATAGTGGGTGATACAGGTTCAATCTTTTCAAAGTTATATCTAGGAATATAGTTCATGTACAACACCTTTCCAATTTCATTTTTGCAAAGAGACTGTTTTATGACTCAAGGAGAGAGCAATTTCACACATAATTAGTTGTAACAATGTAAGTAAGTGAGGTGAAAATCTAACACCCAATATTAGAGCCCACACTAGGTGGACCTTCATCGGGTGTGTGTACGTGCTCTACTGCTCTAGAGACCCATGTTTCAGATACTGACCAACCTCTACTATGTTAGTTACTACTTATGATCCACATGATTGTTTTATGGTTCCATTTTTTTATGACATGTAAGTTGTAACACACTTTATATATTGTTGAAAACATGCATCAAATTTTGTGTGATCAACCATTGAAATATTTGGTGGGACAGGTGTAAGGTAAGAAGGGTTGTTGAATTAGAAGTAGGATGCAGAGTATATGTTTGTGGATTTTCAAGCTACTTAATTAAAAATTTTAAAAGCTTGTAAAAGTGCACTTAACTTACTGTTTGAGGTCTAAATTGCATAACATGTTCGATTAGCTCCAGACCTCCAGTATATATTGTATCGATCCATTGAGTTGACATCTGGACAAAATAAAACCTGAGTCATGTTTCAAGAGTCACAGAAATTAACCAGTACTTGTAAAATTAAGAATAATGTCTTTTGGGCTTTTCTACTCAGTTCTTTAAAAGCCACAGGCTCTTGATGCACTAGGGTCACACTTTTACTACAAGTAAACAATGAAGAGAACAAAAGAAAGGGAACTTGTGGTGGATGCAAGTAAAAAACAACTCTAAACCTATTCTGAAAATAAGTAATTGAAACGAAACACAGAGTGACTTGAAATCAAACCTATAGATTGAATTTTGTTTGGATCAAAAGTAGTTGGCTATCATGCTTATACTCAACATTAAGACCAGACTAACAGGTGTATCATGATATAGAGCAGTGGGTGATAGATGCCTTAAAAGGCTTAAACTAAACCAGATGGGTTCCAGAAAATTACATCGATTATTTTTTTGCTCTCGGTCTGCCTAAACCAGCAGATAACCGAAATTCCGCACATGGGGAAAGCTGAAGTCTACCATTTAGACAAGAAAATCGGTAAAAAAAAAACTAGAAAACGGGTGAACAGAAACACTGAAGCATGAGCTTACAAACCGAAGGTAGCACAGTGTAGATAAAGAGTTGATAACTCACAGTTATGCAGAGGCAATCTCTGGATGAACCATGGGAAGCTGAAACCATGAATTATGAATGTTCGTTTATACTTCAAGATGATAACATCTACAACTGTATTATATAGAAAACAACGAAAAATCAAGCGTTTTTGTCTTTATGCATATAATACCAAGTCGTGGTTGACCCAAGTCAAGTTTATCATTGCTAATAGTCTAGTCTTTTGAAGCTTTCCGTTAGCTTTCATCCACCAGGAAAGCGACTTAGGTTTTTGCCATTGCACTTGTGTTGAAAAGAATGTGGGTTGTTTGGGTCGTTGTGAATTATTATATTTAAAATAGGTGAATTTATTCTTGCACCCGGTTATTAAATATAGAGTAAATTGTAAAATTGGTTTATCAAAAAATAAAGTAAATTTTAAGTTCAAATTTTTTTTTTATCGCATAGTGAGTCCAAAATTGAAAGTTCTATGTAGATTTAATCTTCCGTGTTAATTGTTGTTATTTTTCTCCAGTTAAATTTGTCATATGTTCTTCATGTGAGTTTATATTTGTCATTTTAGGGACACAAATCAATGAAGTTAAGTTTGTCATATGCTTATCATGTAAGGGCATATTTGTCATTTTAGGGACATAAATCAATAAAAGCTTATTAAATGATAGAAATATGCAAATCAAAAAATAGTCAAGGGACAATTACTGTAAATTTACTTGTTTCTTTATAAATCATATCAAAAATCTCCATGTGCTCTATATACTTTTTGCACACAAAAAAGTTTCTTCATTTTTTGGTTAGTCTGTCGGATTTGTTTTGGTCAGACTACATGGATTATTTTTTTGCTCTAGGTTTGCCTAATTTCAATTATTTTAGTTATTTTGATTCAACTAATTGGAATTTTCTCGAACCTGTTTGGATTTTGTTTAGTTTGGAAGATTAGAGTATTCAAACTCACAATCATAAGCTTTCATGTTAATTTCTAGATTTAATCGAAGAGGTGTTTGAAAAGATTCTGGTATTTCTGGATACTAGGGTTGTAGGAGATGAGGTTAGTGATACTAATACCAACTCAGATTCCAGATCCAATAAAAATGGTTTTTTAAGTTGTCTTCTTCACATCGATGATCGTTATGGTTTTCACTTTTGTGCAGTTTCAAGAAGCAACAAAGGAATTCCCCACAATGTTCACTCGATAATCTCATCAATAGAGGAAATCTCTCTCTCTCTCTCTCTCTCTCTCTCTCTCTCTCTCTCT